CAGAACTAAATTGAAGACTTTTAAGGACCCGCGGGAACCCTGATATATGAGGGGTATATATATCATATATATATATATATATATATATATATATATACACACATATATTACTAACCCCAAACTTTTGTATAGTAATGTAAATACTTTACAAAATAATTCAGTAGTTTATAATAATTTTTTATTATATTTTTTATTGGGTTTTAAAAGATAAGATAGATACGCTGTTTAAAATGTCTGATTATCAAACATAATGGACCATGATAAAACCATAGTTAACAGGAAACTGACTTCATCCATTCACTAAAAATGACCAGAAGATCAGATGGCTAAAAATAATTGGGGGAAAAAGTGAGTAAAAAAAGAAAAGTTACTTCACTTTTATAGCATCATTCATTTGATGATGCTTTTCAGTTTAATATGTTGCTATATAAAGCAATGAAGGTCCATTTTTAAGTGTCCCTATGCATTTTGGGCCAGTGTTGACTTAGAATAATAGATTTTTAAGCTCAAACCATCATCTCACCAGCTGATACCACTGTTTCCACACCAGTCCCATTGATGAAGGCTCTTTTGATCGTCTGAGTGCGAACATCAGACCAGTAGATGCGGTGCTCCAGAGCATCATAATCCACCACTGTAACATTGTCGATGTCAGGCACAGTGAAAGAGATGATGTAGTTGTAATAGGGATTATCAATGTCCACCCCTCTGATTTCAATCTGACGAGCGTACAGCAGGAACTGACGGTACTCTGGACAAAAGACATTGTCAATTGATATAGAATTATAAAAGGGCATGTAAAACAAAGCATATATATATTTGTATGCACAAAATCATCTTGTACAAAATATAAGCTGTTGTTAAATTGTAGTCATGTATTTTTCTATGTACATACATATATTAGTAAAGAACGTACAGTAGTAGTGAACTCTACAGTCTCCATATTGATTAGCCTGAACGGAAGAGTAGCTCCTACTCCTGCGTTTGCCACTATCTAATGTCAGTGTTAATTCATCACTGAACCTACAGGTCCTCTAACTCCAATCACTCTGCTCTCCATACAGCCATACCGAAGGCTGTGCTGCTGAATACTAAACACTGATCGTGCATCTGGGCGGCAGGGTGCACTGTTGTTTTCTTGACGGTTAAACAAGATTTACAGCCCACACAAGACGACTAACATTCAGCCCGGCCTGAAAAATCTAACATTGAGCATCTATAGCGCCAACGCAGAAGGAATCTAAAAGAAAAGCCTCATGCTGTGCCGCAATTCATATACTATCTGTCCTGAAGTGTGTGAGATAAGAATTGCTTCATTTAAAATAATAGTGAACTGAAAAATTGTCAGCCACAGTATGATTTTTTTTTGGTGGATTTTCTAATTGTACAACCACATGTATGCATTAGAAGCCAATTCTTGCTAATACTCTTCAAATGAAGAAAAATGCTTGTATGATTTTATTCCATAAGTATGAAGCTGCCACAATAGTTTTTAAATGTATAAACCTAAAAGTGAAGTAATAATGAAATGCTAATGGAGTTAGCTAGATGCGGACACAAAAAGAAAACAGCAAGGAGCTCTGTGGCTTTGCTATTTTGCTTACTACTCACTCAAATTGGAACTCCAGCTTTTGGTTACGTTCCAAATAATGTAGTATTACTGCAGTACATTTGTATGTGGAATACCAGGGTGATCAAATACATTCACTAAAACATGCAGAGATTACTGCGTGGATTACTGTATCCCACAATGCAATGCGCTTTACCTCCCATTTCCAGTATGATGGATTCAAATGGAAATACTATCAGCAGCGATTTTTAATCAAACAGCCATCATTAATACATTTGATAAATAAAACATACTGAGGTCATGTGACAATATACTGTGGAATAATGCCTATTGTTTCTTAGTACAATTTATATTGTTCCTGTTGCTCAAACAGTATAATATGTTGTTTGCAATGACAAGGTCATGGGAAATGTAATATATTGTGCAGTATTCAGTTATTAGTAAAACAGTATTCCATTCAGAACTTGCTAACAATTAAAGCATTTGATTGGATCTTAGGGCTGAGGAAGGAGGAGCCTACCGTAGCAGGTGTGCTTGTCTGCCTTGAGTTTCATGAGGTGTGGACAGGCACAGGAAAAGGTTTGGTTGTAGTTGATGAGGCACAGGTGAGAGCACGGCCCTTTCCCATCATTCGCTGCACACGGGTTGGGAGCTGCAAAGGAGGAAGAAAATGTTCAGTGTTATTTTCATATTTTTTATATAAAACTTCTTATATATTTAATATATTTATATTTTGTTTTAATTTTTTCAATCCAGTTTTAGAAATTTTGGCACTTAAACTTATTGTATTTCATTTAGTTGCCAAGGCAAAATTTCTGCTATGTGACCCTGGACCACAAAACCAGTCATAGTCACACAGGTAGGTATGTTTGTAGCAATAGCCAAAAATACACTGTACGGGTCAAAATTATAGATTTTTCTTTTATGCCAAAAATCATTAGGATATTAATTAAAGATCATGTTCCATGAAGATATTTTGTACATTTCCTACTGTAAATATATCAAAACTTAATTTTTGATTAGTAATATGCATTGCAAAGAACTTCATTTTGAGCACCCTCAGATTCCAGATTTTCAAATAGTTGTATCTCGGTCAAATATTGTCATATCCTAACAATACATCAATGGAAAGCTTATTTATTCAGCATTCAAATGATGTATAAATCTCAATTTCAAAAAATTCACCCTTATGACTGGTTTTGTGGTCCAGGGTCACATATTAGCTTAAGTTAACGTTTTTCATCTAGTATTTATATTTTATTTCAGTTAAAGGAAATTGTTTTTAATAGGTTTGGTTTACAAAAACAACACTGGTGTTCACAGCTTACAAATGCAACACGAAACATAAACAAGTTTCCCGACAGTTTTTGACGTATTAGTTCAGGTCATGCTGGTTCTCACCCTGAGGTTGTCTAGAAGGATGAAACACTTGAAGATCAAACGGCTGAGTGTTTGTTCTCTGGACCACCGTCACATTGTGTCCTGTCCATTTATTGGCTTTAGCCAAAGTGTTGGTCCGCCAGTCCGTCCAGTAGACCTCTCCTCCATACATGGTGACGGCAAAGGGATGTGATAAGTGTTCATGACCCCGGAGCACCTCGATTAGGCCGGAACCATCGTAAGCGGCAGAGTAGATGGCATCAGATCTAAAGAAATATTTTTCAAGATTTCAAGATTTTTACAAGATCAAGGTGACTAACTGTGGATATTTTTGCATTTTACTTCACTTTTAGTGACAATAGTGCATGCATACCTGGCATCAATCCACAGGATACGGCGCTCTAGGTAGTCCACAGTGAGACCGTTGGGCCAGCCACCGTTCCCAGTCTCTTTGTGGATGGTGCGACGGCCCTCCCCACTCATAGACGCAGCCTCTATCCTAGGGGAGCTGGCGTCCCAGTCTGTCCAGAACAGAATACTGGGGGAAAAAAATAAACATTTCTTGTAACAACCTAATTCTGTCAAGATAACTGAAAAATAACAGAGCTGTCAAAGTATATCATGTTTTACCCATCTCTTGGGTCAAGAGCAATGGCACGCGGATGCTCCACTTCTCCGGCTAGTAGTGTTGTACGCATGGTACCATCCAGCTTGGCCACTTCGATCTGATCCAGGTTACTTTCCACCCAGTAGATGTTTCCTGCGATCCAGTCCACAGCCAGACCCTCTGGAGTGGCCAAACCATACTGAATCACCACCTCAAAACTGGTGAGAGCTGAAACACCAAGACAAGGAGAATTTATAGGAATCGAAGTTAAACCTAGAAATAAAAGGTTTAGGATGTTGAAAAATGCATGAAGAAAATTTAACCAAAGAAATTATGGATCCAATATAATAATTTATATATAATATATATTATATTATAATAATA